AGAATCCGTCCCATGTGGACGCTAAGATGGTCCCCACGGAACAATAAATCACGCCGTTTACACTTCAATTGCTTTTGTGGAGTATTCGTGGTGGTTGTGGTTGTGGTTGTGGTGGAGGTGGAGGTGGAGGTGGAGGTGGAGGTGGAGGTGGAGGTGGAGGTGCGACGGAACACTTTTTATCGCCCCCCACGGTGTGCTTGCACTGCTGGGAACGGGCACTTTGCACGTATTTTTGTTCCCTTTTATTTCAATGTGAAACATTTTTTTATTTGTTTTTTTTTTTTTTTTTAGGAGTTAATTAGACACTACTTTAGGCATTGCTTTTTTTTGTTCCTGCCTTTTAAATTTGTAGGTTCTTCGTGTGTGCGTATGGAAAAGAGAGGGATCCCGATGCGGCTGTGTGTCACGCCTGTTTGCTAGATAAGGCTGCTTAAGACGGGGTGAAGAAATGGGAGGGGAGTAGGTGTTATCTGCGTATTGCACTTTTTGTTTTTATTATTTATTTATTTGTACTCTATCATCCCCTGTGTTTTTGCGATTTTCTCTGGTCAGTACGTACTGAGGGAAAATTCATAAAAACACCACCTGAAAAGCAAAAAATAATTTAAGGCACCTGCGTCCTTTTGATATATATATATATATATATGCCCAAGATGAAGCTACTGGGGACCTCTACCGCTGAAAAGGAGCAAATGCAGCTGATAGATATGTACGTCCCCGATGAGGAGGTTGACTGGACGAGCGACGCATACATTCGGCCTAACGGTGACGAGAGGTCGCACAGGGCGTGTGACGACTGCCCTGCTCACCGCATACTCACCGCGTGCTTCTCTACTCTTTTGATAATCATAGGCGTCGCTGCTTTTATCTTCGTTGCCGTTGTGGGGAGCCTACCGGAGCAGATGGGACTTCATCTTAACTGCACAACTTTGTTTTTTTTCTTGGTGTGCCCTGGAATATTCTTCTTGTTTGTGGGACTTGTGGGCGTAGTCTCGGCATGGCGAGAGACACAATTCGCCTCTGTATTATTCTCGGTACTTGTTGCAATACCGGCCTTCGTTTTACTTGAGGCCGGCATGCTACTTTTGGTTGTGTATCTTAAAGTGGTTTCATCTAATTTTTTGGCCGATGTCTGGGAGTTGGCTGTGCCACGTGCCCCAGACGTTATCTGCGAATTTCAAGAACGGCTGCAATGTTCAGGGTTTGCCCCTTCGCAATGCTGCGTCAGCAATCTGACGGCAGCAGGGTTGCCCAACGTATCTTCATGCTATTTGGTTGCCGAGGACGGTGTGACGACGCTTGACCCACACACGCTGCAACCGGTTTCCTGGCCGTCACGTGTCTGTGCGCCCACCTGTGTTTCGTCGAACGTTTACAATGCCACATGCCAGGAAAGATTTGAAAATTTATGCAGGAAAATGCTTCCACCCTCATGTGGTGGATTTTTTGCTGTTGGATTTGTGTTTCTTGGTTTTGGTGTTCTTGCCTGTTATCGTGTCACAGGTAAAAGAATACAGGACATTTTGCCTTCGGTACGACTATAGACACGCTCTGTGTAGAAAAAGGCATCTTTTGCAGGAACTTTGTCGGTCCTGCGTACGACTCAAGTGTAGAGAAATTAAAAGAATAGGAAATTCCTTGCCTGCTTTGACTTTTTTTTTTCATTATTACTTTTTTACTTATTTATTTGATCTTTCTTTGTCGTTTTTTTTTCTTTGCTTTCTCGTTTGCCTAAGGTGCCTTGTCGCTTCGCGTTTATCTTCCACAGGAAGAAGTGCGGTGAATCGTAATGTGACGAGGCGGGACAGTGCCGGAACGATGTTACAAGGAAAGAGAAGGAGTGAGAGCAAGAAAGCAGATGAGTGTACACTTGTCCTCCAGGCGAGAAGCAACCGCAAGAAGGTCTACAGATGATAAAAGAACGTGCATAGATAGAGATCTATGCACTTGTGGCCACATATATATGTTAGTTTTGATTGCACCCTCCGAGAATTTCTCTGGAGGGCGGCCGTGTACGCGTCTCAGTATGTATTATTCTTTTCGTTATTGCGTTGCGATAATGTTGTCTCTTGCGTATCCATTGTTCCCCCTCCCCTTTTTTTTTTTTGATTCTATGCATTCTGCTCCTTTTCCTCTATATATACACACATCCACAGATGTGTGTCTTTCTCTGCATTTTTCTTTTTCTTTTTTTCAACTTTCGACACATGATGGAATTACATGGAGAAACGGTAGTTGTGGTGTGATGTGTGCGAAGAAATGATCGGGTGCGACGGACATATGCAGCGAACGACGGAGCTCCAGGGGAGTGTGTCACCACGCCCGCGGGATGTGTACATGCGCGTGAGGCGCTTGCGCAGCTGGGACTGTGCGAGTATGGGTGATACAGCCCCGCCTCGCCTGCGGATTCGCCTGGAAAACAAAGAAGATGTTAACAGTATAGTGGGAGGTGCAGGGTGTGATGCGGCGTCGTCAACGTCTGCGTCGTTGGGTACGGAGCAAACTCCATGTACATTGCACTTTCGGTTCCTTCCAAAGGTAGGTGTTCCCGTTCTTTCAGTACAGGCGACGCGTAACACACACGACGATGTTTTTCCCTCGCCATCTCTGCAGATGTCTGTGAAACGTTTGTGGAATCTCAGAGGCTGTATGGTGATGGATTGTGCGGCAGTGGAGCCAAAGCGGGAGTTCAATTCAATTTCTACACTCGAAACGGAGGAAACAAAGGTCGACGGGCAGGATATAGCAGCAGAAGCCGCAGGGGAATGGTCTTTGTATGTGCTTGATAAGGAAGTTCTGGAAGAGGAGGACGAACTGGAAGCAAAAAAAGAAGAAGCGGCCGCAATTGACGATGAATTTTGTTTTGATGACTTGACCATCACCCGAACTGAAGAGGGTTTTGGGGTGGACACATCGAATCTTAGCTTGGGGATACACCGTATGCATCGCAAGCGATTTCGGGACGACGAATCACCAGAGTATAACTTATCGTTGGGGCTGTGCGATGCCGCGTGTGGCGACCGCCTCGACTACGAAGAGGCACCTTCAATCTATGACATGCTGCGGGAGCACGGGCAGGACTGTTTTTTAATGGAGGAGAATGCGGGTTGTGACCCGGGCCTGTACATTTATCCTGACCACCGCAGAGACGACGAGTACGACAGTAACGCGGCGGATTTTTCGGCTAATGAGTACCCAGAAGAGCCGAGCACAAGCAGTGACACGACGGGGCGGACTGACTTGGAGGATGAGGAGGACACGATGCGGCGCCGTAACGTGCGTTATGGGAACGCTTGGTATGACGAGGGCTACATGGAAGCCTCCCTCAGCAGCGGCTGGAGCAGTTCTGTGGATAATCATTAATTCCTATTCACCTATTTTTTTTTTTGTTTTTGTTTTCTGTTTCCTGTGTTCCGGCTCACTGTGCCCTTTTGTTCTCTCAGGCGGGGTGGAAGACATGCGAAGAAGATGGCGTGCGGCCAAGCAGGCGTGGCGGAGGATGAAAATAAAGAGAATGTGAAAAGAACACAAGTCTGACTAGTATCCGTTTATTAAATTCGCAGCGTTTTCGAGATGTTTGTATTTTTATTACGGCTATGTTTATTACAGTTTGGGTGTTTAGTCTCGTTTTTTTTCCCCTGTTCCTTGTTCTACATTCTACGCCCAATTTTTTGCCTTATCTTTTTTGTTCTTTTCTTTTCACTCTTTTGCAACGTGGACAATGAAGCCGGACCAAGATGGTCGACAATGAGGAGGGCTGGGATAACTTTGGCGAGGAGCCGCAACGCTACGACGGCGCAGAAGACGCAGCGGATTTATACGCTGAAGAGACACTTGCGACAGCGCAGGCAATTACAACTGAAGATGACGCACTTCGCTTTGATAGCGTGAAGGAGGTGACGGTTCTCTTGCGCTCCGCATACATGAGCCGGATGCTGCAGAAGCTGAGCGACTACAGCGAACAAGATGAAGTGAAGAAGACCATCTTACCGGAAGAGCCCGAGTACCAATTTGTCATTGATTCTAGTACACTTGTTTTGCGTATTGAGGTGGAGAAGAGCAAAGCTGCTGTGTACCTGCGGGCACACTATGGACAACGATTTCCGGAGTTGGCCATGTTTTTTTCAGACAGTGTGCTTTACGCCCGTATTGTGCGACTGGTGCAAAATAACATGGATCTTTCCGTTATCATTGACCAGCTGGACGAGTTGGTGCCGTCACAGCTTACTGCGGTTGTGATTGCCTGCGCCTCCACGACTGCGGGGCGGGAGTTAAGTGAGGAGGAGCTGCATCGTGTCCTCGAGGCCTGCCAGGAGATTGACACCCTCGAGGCGGCAAAGCAGACCTTTCTGGAGTACATTCAACGCTCCATGCCTCTGATATGCCCAAACCTTTGCGCCTTTTTGGGGACGGGTATTACATCACAGCTGTTTGCCATCGCCGGTGGTGTCACTGCGCTCTCCACGATGGACTCTACGGAATTGGCGAAGCTGGGTAGTAAACGCGCCGATGATTCTGGTGTTCTACTCAGAACAACGGGTTTTCTCAGTAACTCGGACCTTGTTATTAATCACCCACCACAGATGCGACCAAAGGCACTGCGTCTTGTGGCAAACACCGCCTCTACACTTGCACGCATTGACGCCAATCGCAGAGCCGCTAGCCAACAGGAGGGCTATCGTCAACGCGAGATGGTGCGGTTAAAGATGCTGTCGTGGCTAGACCCACCGGTTATCCGTGGGGCAGCAAACAACACATATGCACGGCGCGGTAGAAAGCGGCCGAGACGGCAAACACGGTAGGTACGCCCTGCATTCGTATTTAACAATACCTTCCTTTTGTGTTCCTAGTTTTTTTTTTTCCTTCTTTGTCTCACCCCAACCCTTGCTGGTTGCTTCCACGTGAGATAACAGTGCGTGGAGGGGGCCGCATTGAATGCACCAATTTCGACGTTTTTTTTTTTTTCTGCTGCTTTCACGCTTTTCACCGCGTGTGACGGAGGTCATTAGGAAGCCCGAGGTGGTGGCATTGGTCTTGATTGAGTAGAGGCAGGTTATGGAAGAGAAGACGTCTCTGACGGACCTGGGACTTGAGCTGTGGATTCTCGTGTACCATCTGTACTGCAAATACAACAACGATCCGGATGCGGCATTCTACGAATTGGCGCTTCGTACCCGATGTGTTTGCAGTAGTGACGACCTTTCTGTTGCTCGAAGCCCATCGTCGCTGAAGAGTACGCAGTGGTATCGGGAAATGACCACCCGCCATGGTGCTTTGCGGCAGCGCATAAAGGAATCTCACTCGGAGGTCTTGCAGGAGGCTGAGGCAGTGACGCGTAGTTTGTACCCCGCAGGGTGTAGGTTGAAGGAGTACGCGGACGCACTTCAAACCTGTGCTGCAATGCTCACCGTCTCCATACCAGGTCGGGCAATTGCGAGGTTTTCCGAATACCGTGTACAGGAGCTTGCATCGCATGCTATTGTCACAGTTACTGTTGACGAACTCCTCAGCGATCTTATAGAGCGCCCGCTGCTTGACGCCATGACGCCGTCGCAGTGGTGGAAGTTGGATCCCACGGGCGATAATCCCGTGTTGCTGAAGAGTGTCGGGCTCTGCGCTCATCCGTCACAAATACATATTTTATGCATGTGTTCAGGGAAATTGCGCTGTTACCGCATTTACTTAGACCCTATTCTGCACAAAAGCGGACCGACCGCACAAATCGCCAAGCGTCTTGCACGGACCCATGGCACCTTGCTCAGCGAAGAGCAGTTTCGTGCCTACCTTGTGCGTCTTCAGAGCCTTATGAGGCAGGTCGCAGAGGACGGCGACAGAGGGCGCACCTCAAGTAGCACGATGAATGACCTTTCGCATGAAAGTGCGTACCCGCCGTTGCAATATCCACAACAAGAGTTATCATCTGCGCTCGCCGCAGCGGTGGACTCGGGGAAGGGAGCGAAAGCGACGCATGAAACTTTGAGTGCAGTGAACAAGGCTGATGTAGGTCTCCTTTACCGGGACCCAGAGGCAGCTCTGGACAACGTAGACCTCAACGACGCCGACGATGTCACTCTGCAGGAGTTTAAAGCAAAGATGGAGGAGAGGTTTTTAGAAAACGCGTTGCGACCCGGCGATCTTGGCTACGAGTACGACAAACGCGTTGAGGTTAAGCCGACGGAGCGTAGCGAGTGGGACGACTCCGACTAGTCCAAGACCTTTTTTGTGAGGAATGTGGGAGAGGTGTAAAAGAAGGGGAAACACCCAAAATATGCACCTGCAGACACACAAATACAAACAGACGCACAAAAGAAAAAAACGAAACATCGAGAATAATGCGTGAATCTTTCTTTTTGCGACGGGGTGGCGGTGTGCTCTTTCATTGTTTACGTGGCGGATTGCTATTATTTTACTCCCATCCACCCCTCTTTTTTTTTTTTTGTGGATTCATTTCGTGGGGAACTCATGCACATGCACAGAAGCCCCTGTCGCTGCCAAAAGGGAGAGAGAGTGGGGAGAAGAAAAAAGTGTGCGCAGCTTGCATGCAAATCGCTTTGTTTTTTGACATCAAGGGAAAGAAGGCGGAAGGGAGAGAGAGAGAAGCACGTGAGTAGGTGGGCGGAAATATGGCGTCGGTGAATGTGGGGGAGTTTGACCTTATGCGGTACCTGCACCTCTCCTTCCTTAAGGACGAGAAGCAGTTAACACAGGAGGAGAGGCAGGCACTTGGGGAGCAGCGATGCCAGGTAATGGATGAAAGACAGTATGCTGGTCATTGCCTGCAAGAGAAAGTGGCTCGCATACGCGAGCAGTACTCACTTCGCTGTTGTGCACCCAAACCAAAATCCTACCCGCGTGACGCCGACAGTAAGTATGGGCTCTTCTGGTTCGGACGAGGGAGGGACGACGGTGATTGTGATGAACAGGAAAAAGATGTAGATGACAATGCAGTGGTGTCACGTCCGCAGAAGCATCAACAGGGGGAGGGAGAACAGGAAAGGGAACCGATCCATGATGACTCGGAATCGGAGGATAGATCTGTCAAAGAGCGATTTAAGGTGTGGCGGCCGATTGAGGGTCCCCCATTACGTAGGGACAAGGCTGGCAGTGTGTCACTCGTCGCAGCCGGCAGTTCTCAACAGCCTCAACGCAGAGCTTTACACTCGACACTTAACACTTTGCCTGCTGCGCGGGATGGGAACTCTGCCTTAACACCGCCGTGGGCAGAGGATTGTCGTGTGGGCAGTGGTCCTAAGGAGGGACGAATAAGTCGCGTGAAACGACAGCATGAACTTTACAAACGGGGTGTGCTTCCCCGTGGGGAGGACGGTATCGATGATATTCTTCGCCACGCACGTGCTTCTCAGAGTCTAGTTCTCGACCTGCAGAAGTGGCGGATGCGCGAGGATGAGCAGCACAATCAACGAGCATTGAGGAGGGCGCTAGACGGGCAAATAATCGACAAAAGGAGGCGGCAATTAGCGCAGCTTGAAGAGGATCTTGTGCACATCTACGGTCCCACTATGCGCCATATTCTCAACGATGCTTTCGGGCAGAATCCGAGCATCCAGCATCCGCAGCCGCAGCAGCTCGATGAATCTCTCGCGGATAACCGAAATAATAGTGACAATGATTTATTTTTGATGTTGCGTCGCAAGGAGTCTCCGCAGCGACGTTTTAGAGGTAGGGTACTTACGGAAGAGTCACGCTTGCGTGAGGCGCGACTTGCCTGGTTGTCTGCATGGGAAGATCACAAGCGACGTCTGAGCGCTGCCGCAAATAGGACACCAACGACAGGTAAATTCGGTGACGACACATTTAGCTGTGCAACAACAGATCCACTCTCCCCAAGCTTTTGTCGTTCCCATCAGCAATCGTCAGACCAAGTGGTCACTGCTGAACGGCGGTGTCACGATCCACCTCACCAACGGTATCGTTTCTTGTCAGAAGAGAAAAGGAAGGCGGATATGATAGGAATTAACAGTAGCACATCATTTTCTTTCTGACATTTATCTTTTTTTATGTTTTTTTTTTAAATTTTATTGTGCTACATGTGTCTGTGTGTTAAAAATGATGAACACACATGAAAAACTATAATTACGTACTCGGACACTGTCTGCATTATATGTATGTATGTATATATATATATGTGGGGAGGGTTGCTTCTCTCTCTTTTTCTTTCTGATTGTGTTGTTATTATTTGTGCCAACTGGTAGACTGCAATAAGCAATGGGACACTCGCTAGGTTTGACATTTTCTCATAGAAGACGTCTCGGGTGCTTTCTCTTTCTACTTACAGTGAGAATTTGGGGAAGTGCGGTAGCGGGACATGGTTTGTATTTTTAGTTAAATTTTTTTTTTTTTGTGGTGCGTGGGAGAGGCAGCGATGGTAGATGCGGAATACTATTGCTTTGGTAGACGGATGGTTTGCGTTTTTCTTTTTTCTGCTTTCCTTGCCTTTTTTGCTTTCCCTGTTGCCCATGAAGTGCTCCATACATGCTGAGGAAGCCTCTGGGGTCTGCAAAGAAGCGATTTCTCATGAGACGGTTTCGTCCAGCAGGTGACGTGTGTCGGAATGCTTTGACGAACGACATGGCGCTGGTTATACGGGCTGACTGCGAGGACACTGTTCTTTCTCCTCTCGCACTCACCACGAGTGCGGAGTTAGTGCAGCGGTCACCGGAAGCTCTTCTTAATAACGCCAATCGTCCCCTACATGTGATTCTGCTGCTGCTGTTACACCGCCGTGGCGTGCTGGATAATAAACATACGCGTCAAGAGATTGCACGTTTTTTGGTCCCTTCTGTGCATCTCGACTGGCTGCCATGGCTGTGGGGCGATGATGGGGAGTCTGTATCCTCATCCTCGACAGGGGACATTTCTGCTTTGCGGACCTTGCCTCCGGTTGCATGGTGGGGGTTGATTGAGCAGGAGAAACCAAGTGATCCCAGTGATCAGTTGCATTACTGGCACCAGGTGTTCTTTGCGTTATCCGCCAATCCTGCCTTTACAGAAACTGTGACATTTGATAGTGCTCACCGAGAGCTGCTCACCATGGTGCGTGAGTATTACATCGATGTTACACGCGTGCAAAAACTCCTACCCCCATTGAAGGATGGTACAATTTTGACTCGCATGCCACCGGTGCTTCTGCGCAAGCTTCGAAAGTTGTATGTGGAGCAGTATCGTCTTGTGCAATATGCCGAACTCTTCCGTGCCGTAGTAGATGGAGAGGAACTTGCTATGCCAGAAGATGGCACTGCTCTGTTGCATGATGCAGAGCTCTTTGAATACTACCTAACTATCCCTGGTCGTCGCGAATCAGGGATGGAACGTGAAAGGAGATGGACGTGTACACTCGAGTATGCTGTTTTTGCTTTTCATAACTTGTTCCGTCAGCAGCGTTGGACTGGAGACACCGTCAACACGGCGTTGTCACGCCCCGTTACACTTCTTATGAACATTTGCGTCTTTTCAAAGAATGACAATGCGGAGGGTTATCGCTACCGGGAGGCTATTCTCAGTGTGATGCATTTGTTTCACACTTGGTGTAGGAATGGCGGTGACGGGAAAGTTGATTGCGATGTCTCCTCTGACACTGCATGGGAGTTGCTGCGACTTCTTCGTGACACAGGAGTAGAAAGCATGTTGGCCAAATGCAAACGACTACACTTTGGTCCAATGCGCGGTCTTCTTGACGTTTGTACGGTGGCTGTTGTTACGGAGATGCTTCTCTGTCTTGAGGCTGATGCAGGGAGTGAAAATGTTAAGCGAGCCTTTCGTCACGAGGAGCTGGAGATTCTCCTTAGCCCACGCAAACTCATAGGCAGTGAAATGTATGATGCTATGAAGAGCCATGATCATTCATGTTTTGCTGCACGGTATGGTTTGTTAAACTTGGGCGCTCGTATAAATGCCGCACTTGAAGCGGTTGTAAAGTTACCTGAGTCAATGCAGCGGTATACAGCTGAACTGGAAAAGTGGGGGGCGTTCATTGGTCGTCCGCTGCGTCTGAGCATTCGTGATATTTCCTCGTCGCACTTGTTGGCAGCACCGTTGATGTTGGATCATGTAGGCGGAAAGTCGGTTCCGTCCTGGCAATGCGGGTGTCGAAAGGTGAACCCTGTTCAGGCAATGAACGTCTCGTGCATAGGATGCGTGTCGCGAGATTTGGTGGAACATGAGTGGACTTGCCCGCATTGTTCGTGGATTTCGGCGTCCGGGGACTACATGGATACCTGCCTTGGTTGTCACCGTCCTCACCCATGTCGCCAGATTCTCGCAGACGGTGTTGATGTCACTCCCGGCTCGAAGGAGCTGCCTGTGACGCCGTTTCTGTGGTACTGTGAGGGGTGTTTCGCCTACTCTCCACTGGCTGGTGGTGATGCTGCTGCAGGAGGAGGAAGTTGTAGTGATTGTGATCTTGGAGGCAAAGGTTGGTCAACAAGTTTCTTTGAGTGGAGATGTGGATGCGGTGAGGTCAACAGCCCTCTTCGACGGTGGTGCTGGGCATGCAGCGTGAAGCGTAACCACGCGGCCTGCTGCTGCGTCACGTGCGGAAAGGAGTGGAAATTGCAGCCTCGTCATCGACTGGCGACGTCGGCGGTAGGGGATATCTGCCCATCGTGCAATGGAATCCACCCACGTGACGTCGCAGCACGGCAACGCCGACTGCTGCGCTGTCCGTTTTGTCACTGGCTGACTCGCATCGATGATGAAAGGTGCCAGAATTGTAAACAGTGCATAGGAGTCCTTCGTCAGTTTCTTGCTGGTTTACCTGATTGCCCCTGGTCGTGTCACGTGTGTGGGTGCCAGCATCACCATCGTGACACCGAGGGTGCCCTTTATCCACCATGGCGTGAATCTATTGAAGCGTGCGGGGGTTGTGACGCGCCGCGAGTGGATCCAGTGCTGTTTGGGATGCATGAGACCTGGGTCTGCGAGAGTTGCAGGGGTCAATTGGTGCGGGGATTTAACTGCCCTCGTTGTCTTTCCCTGCACCCCGCCATCGCAGGAGTGGAGGTTCATGCATGGCGTTGTGTTGTATGCCTGTCAGTGAACAACAGCTGGGATGCTCTTTGCCAGCGTCGCGGTTGCGGAACACGACGCTCGGCCGACTCCACCGCGCTGCCGTATTCCCCATGGCGTTGCTCTCGATGCGGGGGGCACAGCCGAAGTGCACAGGTTCCTCAGTGTGAACACTGTGGCACTGTCCGGGTGGCGGCGTATCCTGCGCCGGAGTCTACGGTGGATGCAAAGCGATTGGGGCGACTTGCTGAGGTGGAGGGGATCCTGGCAAACGCGGCTGCTGCGAATGACGCCAAGGTACCAGAAATGAATTTGGGGAGTCTCCCGACCGACGATTGGTCACGATGTCTCGCAGACAGCATACGGCTTGCCGTACCACTGGGATGATATTTGTAACGAGGTGCTGATGGTGGCGGCAATTTATTTTTTGTCGGATGTAGGGCAAACGGCGTCGCCTCCTTTTTGTTCCTTTTTTTTTTACCTCCCTCCCTTCTTTTTTTTTTATTTGTAAGTTTGTGTATGTGTGCTCAACGAAAACACTGGCGTCTATCCATCTCTCTGCTGGCTCGACGGAGATGGAACGCGTCTCTTTTTCTTTCTCACTCTCCCTCTCCCTCTGGGTGTATGTGCCACTCTTACATCTCTCTTTGCTGCTACAAACAGCAAGATGAATTAAAAGGAGAACAAACGAAGACTTTTCTCGCTCCTGCTCTTTCCTCTTCTCGTTCTACATCTTTTTTGTTCACCCTCTTTTGGCCTTTCTTTTACAGAGCGTACGTGCCCGGCAAAAAGTCAAACAGGAAACAAACGCTGAGGGAGGAATCAAAAAAAAAAAAAAAAAGGTAGCGGCTAGCACCATCTAGTAGTATTAGAGCCATAACAGCAATAAAAAGGTGAATAGAATACCTCACAGGATTGAAAGAACGTGTGTGTGAGAGAGAGAGATTGATTGATTGATAGAGTCTGCGTGTCTGACCAGGTTTTGGAGAAGGGGGTGAGGGGTTTTATCTGTTTTTTGTTTTGTATTGTTAAGCGGTGGGCACTGATTTGGCTGTTGCAAGCTTCTTGCGGGGTGTGGGCAGAAGTTGCCTTCTACCCTCTCGTAGTGAATAATAAAGTTCAACAGTAAGTGCCTCTCACGTAATTACATTCCAGCAGTGAACTACGCGGTAGGAGCATTGTGTGCTTTTGCCTCACTACTGGATATATATATATATATATATATATATATATATATATATTGTTGTA